ATATTTAAAACATATGACTTTTTTATTTATATTGTATTTCTTATATTAATTTACTTATATTACTTATATTAATTTTGATTTGTTTTGTTTTAAATTTGATATTTTATATAAATTATAAAATTTTATAAAAAAATTTATTATTTATATTTTATATATATTATAATTTTATATTTTAAAAAAGAGTTATTATGGCGCTTTATTAACTTTTAAGCGTTAAATTTGAATTTAGAATGAATTTAATTATTAATATGTTAATAACAACTTAATAAAACTTGACGTAATAGGTAACACCTCCTTTGGATGTGGAAACAATGTCGCAAACGCTTAAAGAGAAGAACATCCTTCCATCAACCTTGAAATTTGGATTCCTTGGTTTGGGAATAATGGGAAGCGGTATCGTAAAAAACCTGATCAACAGTGGACACAGCGTGATTGTGTGGAATCGAACACAGGAAAAGGTATGTACAATTCATTTAATTATATTATACAATGCTATATGGTAATTATTATAATTACAATGTTATTTTTCCATTATGAATATTTTTTAAAATAATAGAAAAGAAAAAATAATCAATATTCCAAATATATTATTGATATTAATAAATTCTATTTATTATAATATTAATTTGAACGAGATTGTCTAAATACAGGAAACAAATGATAAATAATAATAATAATAATAGTAATTAATTAATTTTTATAAATCAAAATATATATATTTTTTAATAAAATTTTTTGCCTTAAAATAGTTACTTCGAACAGTCTCATGACTTTGTACAATTTAAATTTGCATTAAGAAGATATAAATTTAAGTTTTCGGTAGAATATTGCAGATTTTATATAAATTGATAATGATCTTCATTTATTATTAGTTTTGTTACTGCATCATCAGTAAGATATTACTGTTTATTCTACCGTGTTGTATCGTATTCTTTAATGATTTAAGTTTTGTTATAAAAGTAAAAATATATTATTTTTTTCAATAAAATATTTTAATAATTTTATGAAAGTAAAGTTAGGAATATAAAAAATTGATACATATCTTGAAAAAATCTTATTTATTGATCGTCCTGCATGTTCAATTTATTTTTAAAACTACTTATCTTAATTTATAATTTAAAACAAATATTAAGATAATAACCAAAATTTATTTATTTATAATAAAAAATCTTAAAAGAATATAATCATTTAAATTACTCAGTAATTTAATAATTATTGTAGTTATATTTTGATAATCGCTTGATACAAAATGGAAAATGTGGAATTATATATTAGTGGAAAAGTTTAAAAATCTTTTTACATTTTGAAATTTATGCTAATATATATATATATATATATATATACATACATATATTTTTTATTTATACATATCTAAATATAAAAAAGAAAAGAATATAGAACAATAGTAAAAGTAATTTTTCATTATAGATCAAAAAATATTTTAATTTTTTTTGGAAATATTGATATTATTTCTACAAAAATAAATATTTTTATATATTTTTATTAGTATTCTTTGCATATATTCACTAACAAACTAAAAAATATGGAAAAATACAAAGCATTCAAAAAGAAATTGTGAAATTGTATTTTCGTAGGAGGAACTTATGATTGAAAAACAATGCGCAAATATATGCAAATTATCCTTTTGCTATACCATAATATGTAATATTTTGGAACGTGTTTTTATAATATTCCACAGCCCAGTTTTGGCGAGTGGTTATTTTGATGAAGTACATCTGTAGCCATTTATTTGTATATTTAATAGCTATTATTATTATTAAATCGTTAATAATTAGTCCTATAATCAGTTCCGTGAGTCAATAGATGTCTCACAATTCTAAATAACATTATTGAAAATAAACATTTAAGAAATAGTTTAGCGGAATTTAATATAATTTCTTGGACAAACTTAAAGCATGTAAATTAACTTTTCATTATTTTATATTGTGATATTTTTGACTTAAAAAAAAGTTTAAATTTATAATTCAATTTCAAAATAACATACATTCGTATAGATTCCGAGAATACAATGCGATTAATAAATAATTATTCGAAGATAACAAGTGAAATTTTTAGAATAATTTTTTCAAAAAGTATAAATATAAATTTTGAGTTTAGAAAACCATAAATACATATCTTATTAAAAATTAGATTTCACTAAGACTAATTCTTTGATAACGAAGATGATAAGTTGTTTAGAAGTAGCGATGACATGTAATCTTATTATTAGTAAATTTGAATAACACGATATTTTGAAATACTAAAAACATTAAAAATATCATCTTAAGAATATCAACTCGTATTGAAGTACATGAAAGATAATTAAAAATCGGATTGCGTGAGGCACATTACTATATAACCGTTAAAATTCGTATCGGTTAAACCACTTAATCCGTTTATTTTTCTTCGTTCGTCACGAAACGCGATTCGAATTCGTTTTTCCGCAATATCATCTATGGTAACGGCAGTTTGTTAATTGTATAACGTCCTATATTTCATTGCATATGCTTCTTGCCGAGTTTGACGCGTTCTTGTTTTCGAGGGATGATAAAATTTTATCTCTTTGAAGTCACTGAAGCGATCCAAAAATAACGGTGGAACACTGCTACATGCGTTAGCTCTTGTTCGTTTCCACGGCATGCAAACGTGTGTAGTGGGGGGTCACGAGAGACGGTTGAGCGGAAAGGAAAGTGAAAAAAGATTTGAAAAGGAAGAAAATTGAATACGCGCGCATTTCATATTAAACAAATTTGAAATTTCATGAAATAACAAACAAAATTGTATTTGTTCTTATCATGCGTAGTAAACGCATAAATTTGATTGCGTACATTCAATTTTTAAGTTATATTATGGAATATAATTATATAAATTTAAAAAAAGAAATTTGATAGTGAAATTTTTTTATGACATTTTTTATATCATAGTTGTAGAAATTTAAATTTAGTTTTTTTCATTTTTTATCATTATTGCAATGTTATTATAAAACGATATTAAATAAATTAATAAATTCTTCTTAAAATTTGAAATAACTATTGTATTCGGATTAGTGATGTTTAGCAATTATTTGATAATATATATATATATATATTATATATTATATATTAAATGTTAAATTGCAATGTTTGAAAATTATTTCTCAATGTGAAAAAATAAATTTATGATTAAATGTTTATAGTATTGTTTTAGAAAAGATTAATTTACGATTATACTTTAGAATTTAACGAAAAATAAGTCTAATGTAAACTTAAAACAATTAAGTAAATTTTGATATTTTTTATGACAAAGGAAAAAATTCAATTTTAACTTCTCTGTTCAAGCTGAATAAATTTTATTTTTAACAATTTTTTATATTTTTTTACTGATTTAAAAATATTCGATGTGTACATTTGAACCAGATATATCGTCGAATAATGTTGATGTTATTACATAATATGCATATAAAATAGGAAATAGTCATTTATACAATTAAAAAAATAATTTTTCATAACATTTAAATTCGTTGATTCGTATTTTTTTTTATTATTAAATAGATAAAATACTGTAAAATTGAAATAGATAATATAATATCAATAAACTGTTTCCTGAATGAGTTTAAGTTTACAAATCATCTGCATAAGTTTTTCCAATTATAATGAAATGTCGTCAATTAAAGTAACAATTCGTAGAACATGCATTATCTACTAAGCTATTGAAATAATGAGAGTCACGATCGGTTTGTCTTCTGCGATTGAATTTTTATTCTTGCACATAGAAAAGCACATGAGAAAAAGGAAAGTCTGATATTAAAGCATTGTTTAAGTTGCATGTTAATAATTTGTACAGTCTTTATCGTAGCTTTGTGATCGTGATTATCATGATTAAAATATTGTTTTATTTAACACCAATAATTAGAATTTTGCGCCATTTTAGTTCACCCGAATGATCAAATATTTTAAATAGATCTGCAAAGTTTTTTTTTTGAAATTGATATATCTCTTTATTTTATGTAAATTAATTGAACATTTTCAATTTAAATTATTAATTGTTAATATTTTATTTAAAAATAAAAGAATGATTACTTTAAAAATGAAATTAATCTTTTTAATAGAAAGATATAGAAGAAATAATTCAAAAAAGATTACTTATAGATTTTTGATAAAAGTTTTTGTACATATTTGAATTAAAGTAATAAATTTGTTTTGAATAGCTTGAGATGATAAAAAAATTTCAGAAATATCACTTATTATCTTCTTCGATACTTTACGAAACAAAATATGCTATTATGATAATTAAGTACATTTTTGTTTTCGATAAAATGATTTTCTTTTTTAAATAATTATATATTTATATATTTCGAACAATTTACACGGGAATTGGAAACAGTTTAAAAGCGTGAAAAGAAAACGTTAAAAAAAGACGTTTATTATTATGTTAAATATTTTAAAAAATGACATTTATTTAAATGAATAGTTCAAATTTTCGGAATCGAAAATAAAAGGATGAAAAGAACATAAAAACAATCAAAACACAACAACACGTTTTGTTTCGTCGAACTTCGATCAGTGAAGAAATTATCAATATATATCGCGAATTCAGTCTCATAAAAATTGTAGTTACACGTTTCTGCAAACTGATAAAATCTCATGTATGCATATTATTTACAAGAGAATAAAAAAGAGTCGATTGCTTAAAAAATTATTGATCTTCGGGAAAATTGACAATTAGACGAAAATTATTATAGATTCATTATACGCGTTGTTTCTTTCTTTCTTTTTTCTTTTCTCTTTTTTTTTATTTTGGTTTATGGTTTTGCAAGTTTTTATTTTAGTTGAAATTGGCTTACGGAAGAATTGGCAGTAACACTCTATATCTTGCGTTTCTTTCCAGCGTTTTCTTCATCTAAAAATCAACGTTCATTATCGTTGATACTGAGCGATGATAACGACAATGATAAAAAGCACAAAGTATAAGGGCGGACAGGTTGCAAGGTCATCGACCGAATCACAGAAAAATCCTTGGAAACTGTCCGCGATTTTTTTTCTAATGTCCTCCTTAAACAACACTCACGCATACACAACCATCAGTTTGATCGATGTCAATAAAGGGACATTCCTATCCTTGGCGTTCTTCTCTTATCGTTTATAGAGGTATATTGTTTGTTATTTTATAGAAAAGCAAAAAACAAAACAAAAAAAAAAAATAAATAAATAAATAAATTTTAAGAAATCCCACGATAGAGAAAAATACCACCGTTCGTTCTTGCGAATGCATTCTCACTTACCGATGTAGAGGCACTTCTATAAAGTTTTCTCACATAATAATCCAGTGGCAGTACATTCTCGTCTTAATTGTAATCTTGCTATTATAAAGAGAGGTTAGTACCCTTTCGTAACACATGTCATCAAAGTTGTTTAAAGTTTGGTTTCACGTGGTAGATCAGGCATACTGGAGGTGGGTGCAAGGAGACCAAAACATTCTG